GGCTGATCTGACAGCTGAACATCCTTTACGTGATCCCTCGTGGGCTTGTAAATGATGGTTGCTGGGGCCGAGCGCGTGGCGTCGGAGCCGGCGCTGACGGAGGCGGAGGGGAAGAGATTAGCGAGTGCCACAAGTCGGTGCCCGTTCCTCTGGCAGTGCAAGGCGGAGAAGAAACTGTCCTTGCCGCCCGAGACCAGGGCGATGACATTGAGCTGTTCGGATGACATGGCAGGCAGGCAGACTTCAGCCTGGCGTCCGACGTTATGCAGGCGGACGGTAGGACTGGGGGACTCGGGCGAGTACGTCTGTCCGTGTGTCTTTGCGGATATGTGTATGCCTTGTGCCCGTGATCCGTGCTGTGCAGCGTGTAATTTCTGTGCAGGCCCTCGCGTTGGCGTATGCGTCCGGGCGTAAAGTGTGGAAAAGCCTTTGTGCACAGAGTCAATGGTCCGAGATTGATGGGCCTGTCTGGGTCTTTGCGCACCACGGAGGTATGGCGGGATAGGGACTGACAGATTTGTCTAGACCTCAAGGGAACCCTTGGATGACTAGAAGCTCCGTCTTCGGCACGTCGCGGCGTCGCGAGGCCGGGATTGCGGATGGAGGTTGATGAGTGTTGAAGTGGTTTGAGCCTTTGACGTGGTACAAGACGGAGTCAGTGAGGAACCCGGTACGACGTTTGGATTTCTGTCCATGGAGGGGAAGGAGGGGAACGTTCACAGAAGGGGGAAAAAAAAAAAAAAAAAAAAAAAGACGGGCCCACTGACCGTAAGTTCGAAATGGAGCCCAATACGGAAAGCATGAGGAAACGGTTCAACTTACAACGAAAAGGTCAAGAGTAATCTGCGGTACCTGCATTGTTCACAACTTCACAGCAATTGCAGCTTCTCCGCTGGTACAATGCTCCCATTCTACGTGAGGAATGGAAGTCGCAATTCCTTCTATTGCATGGGTTGATGATGTGGGTAGTGGTCAGCCGTCAAGATGCTCCCCGGCTCTTATCGAATCATTCCCTGGTAACGGTATTCGTACGCATAAGATACCTTACAGAAAGCAAGACAAGCTTGACAAGGTGAAGTGAGGTGAGGTACTCCGTACCCGCCAAAACGGCACGGCATCTGGATGCAATAGAAGCTATGGAGACCCTGCCCTCCAGTCCTTCCTTACAGCGATTTCCTTCCATCGAGATCCGACTGGCCGGCCTCGACTCCTTCTTTGCCCATCAGTGGATGCTGTCCCGGGGGGCCTTGAGGGGGGGAAGGGGAGGGGGCAACATACGGTACAGTACCACATTACAAACACGACTGTTGCATGATAGAAAGCCGTTACGACGACTGACTGGAGAATATCCATTCTCATACCCTCCGCTAGCCCTGGGCTGTCTCTGGTCTGGGTTACGTTCGGCTCATGGGGGGGTTGGGTACATGGTAAAAGAAAAAAGGTGGTAATTTGATATTCGTTAGTCGGGGGCCCCGGTCAGTTCCGCGCCGCTGGGGACTCGGGACTGGTGGACAACGGGTGGGGTCTTTTTTCGGGGGTGGCCTGGAAGGAAATTCCAAAACCTGGCCGTCCTCCCGGGGGCCCGGCCGTCTCGAACGCCTCGGTTCCCAGGATGAGGGAATCCCCTTCAGCTTTGTCAAACTCCGCCGGTCCTGTTAGTGTTAGGGGACCTGGTCTGGCTTTGATTCCTTGAAGCCTTGAAGGAGAGGGGCTTTGGGGTCGTGGGCGGCGACGGGCCTTGTAGATTAGCGGGACTGCCGTTCTATGCCTGTGCCTGAGGTATCCCCCCTTCAGATTCTCTCTCTCTCCATCCGTAGAGTCTCATTCTCCTCTCAGGCTCACACTCAGTCTCCAGTTTCCCGAGTTCCCCCTCCACCTCGTGCGAGTCGAGAGGTTCCCGCCTCTGAAGATAACCCTCGCTCGGGCGGGCCGCCCCAAGATTGCGCTGGAGTTGTCACTGGAGTTCGCTTCATGCCTCATGGGCTGATACCCTCCAAGGCCCCTCCAGTCAACCTTACACCGCCGGCCCCCTCGTCCCTGGACTTCCATGTGGAATTCTAGAAAAGCTCGACTCGCGAGCGAACTCGCTTAGGACCAGAAGAAAGAAAAAGGTGAGAGTGAGGGGGGAAAGAGGCAATGGGACGGGTTTGCGGGTTCCAATGGAACATGTACATTGAAACTGGGGCTACCGGCACAACGACGTTGGATTACCCGGAATGCCCGCCTTATCCCTACGGCAGCATGACTACCTATCAAGTTGCTTGCGCCAAAAGAGTCCAGCCCTTGGATGAATGGTGATGGGCCAGCTTTCATTTCGTTGAGGTATCATCCACCACGGGGGAAGTGTCAAAGACGAGTTGGGACTTTTTGTTGTGAAGTCACCTGTCCACCTTGAATTCCACCAAGAGTCCGTGATCATCATCGCCATCAAGTCCATCAAGTGGCCATTCTGTGTCATAATCACATCAGCAGAAGAGATACGAATAGTTCACTGCTAGCCTACGAGCACGGTTCAAGCACCATTCCCCATCAAGCAAAACCTACCCGTCAAACTCTCGTGGCAAGAGAAGAAATAATTGTCCGAGACGCGACGACTATCCGCAAGAACCTGTTCATTAAGCCCGGTCAATCAATCTCAAGTGCAACTTCTTGCCAGCCTAATCACATCCACTTGCCCCCGCCAGTCCATCAGGTAAACCTAGCAGAGCTTGGAGCCTTGACGAGCGCAATATGGATCTTGGACGGTATCAGAATTTTCACTCAGTATCGCCATAGCTCAGAGGATGAGAATGAGATGAGGAGATGAGCCCATCTGGGGTTGCTCGAGCTTAGACCCCATCGCCCATGAAGCGGTGAGAGGAAGCAATCACCAGTCCTGCAACTCTCGTCACATCTCGCTCCAAACTAAACTGTCACTTTGCCATCTTTGTTAATTTACTGTTCCATCGCGCGGGGGCGACCAGTAAGATGAGCAAAAGCCAATAGTCACCACCAACACGGATTTGCTATTTCACATCCGTGCTCCCCATCCCATGTAAATGTGAAGTTTGCTCAAACTGCTCCGTGCACCTTGCGAGAGCCAAGGCACCTAGTAAGAAGATCCAATATCGAATTTCATCGATTCGAACCATAGACAGGGCCTGAACTTCCTGAAGGATGCAGCAACAACGGAGCTAGTGGGTGGCTTGGCTACCAGTCTACGGCAAAGCGCAAGATTGACTTTCTGCTCTTCCCGCATCGTTAGTCAGGTACACGAGCCACGCTGCATGGCCCCCAAAAGACATGACCCTCGATATTAATACCAAAAAAGTCAACTGAACCAACAGGTGAACTTTACGCTTTCCAACGAGCCGGGCACCCGGGCAGGCAAGCAAAGCAGGTACATATTACGGATAGGCCATCCGTAGATAGGCAGGGCTCAGCCGGGGGAGGGAAAGCTTGTAGTAAATGGTTTGTATTGATCAATTGCGTACCGGTGGTGGTGGTTGGTCCAGGATTTGACTCGAAGTTGGGCAAGCAATATCCGCGTCGAACCAAAAAAAAACCGAACGAAAAGTCCAATAGCAATATCCCACTCCCGCCGCCCGGCCCCCAATCTCTCGTATCGGTGCAGGGCAAGCATGACAGCAGTCTTTGGCAGCTCTTTACTGTGACTCGCGAGCGTGTAGTGTGTATACGACCATGCAATGCATCATTGCTGACAGAACAGGCTGACGCACGTCTCCTACGACTCGCGCCTCCCCTAGACAGTAGTAAGTGGCACGGTAAAATCAAATTGTTCAACCACCGATAGCTTTTCCTTGGTGCCGTCCCATCGAACCAAAATAAAGAAGAAGCTTCAACCCTCCTCCCGCCGGATAGAATTGCCTTGGTTCCAAAAAAGATCAACCCACCTTACGGTCCGACACCACATCACATCACCCCGCCATGGGGTGAAAAAAAAGAAAGAAAGCAGAACCCGAATGTGACAAAACTATAGAATAGAGTAAAACTTCGTAATCCGAAATCTATTCGCCGTCAGTGGTACGATTGCGGTGAGGCATGCTGTGTGCTTAGTTAGTTTTTTCTCCTTGCCACTTGCCTCGGTACTGCCACCTGTAATGTGACTTCTTCATCACGTCCGTCACCCTCTCAATTCAAGGTTCCTCTCAAAGTTCGGTAGCCAAGGGTATAGACCACATGATTCCGTACGCACATGGTTTAAACGTAGCCTTCAGAGTCCTGACTAAGGAAATGACATCCGAACGGTCTTACCGAACCCGCCAGGAATCGCCCATGTCAAATGTCACCCAAGAAAGAAAAGGCGGGCAACTTGGACAACCTAGGCGAGAGAGAGAGAGAGAACTTGGCGAAGAGAATAAAAATGAAAAGTGGGAAAATGAGACCGTTACAGCCGGACCTCAGTCCGCGACCGAAGATGGGGAATGGGGCCTGGCCTGTCGAACAAACAAAGAAAAGACGCGCGACCTACCTATGCGTACAGTCAACCAGTCAGTTCCGCGGCAGGCTGACAAGTGTGATGACTCAAAAACCCAACGCACGCCTTGATTACTCGCTACTAGAGCCTAGGCGTTGCCAAGTACCTAGGTTCCCAAGCAAAAAAGATGGTGAGACCAACACCCGTGACTCCAACAAAGAAAAGAAGAAACCATAAACGTCACTTCAAATGCCGTCCGCCGTTGAAGGGGGCGGCGGCGCACTGGAATCGTTTCGGGTACCTGGTGCCACACAGCCAGGTGGACTCCTGTTTTCTCGATCAGTCAGAAAAGGCTGCGGCGCTAAGGCAGGTGTGTAAGTCGGGCCACGTCGGGGTGTTGTGTTAGCTACTAAGCTGAGTTACATCCCGCTGGCGAGACAAGACAATGCCTAAGAAAAGACTTGGGAAGAAGAAAGAATGGGAATCGGGAAAGGACCTCAGAGATTCAGAAAAAGAAACCATAAAACATCCGATTGGCGAATACAACGCATGACGACGGTATCCTTTTCTGGGCTGGAACACCGGTTGATGTCTTGTCTTGGGTAGGAAAAAGTTGAACCCATGTCGAAGGAATGTAAAAGTCAAGCCCCCATCGATCGATGAACTAGAACATTGTTCAGCCCCCGAGTCAGATCACACAACGCGGCACGCGAAAGGCACTTAGGGAGAGGAGGCATTGATCACAAGAAAGATGCGGGCGAGGTAGGGAAAAGGTTTTTGGCAGCGCGTAAAAGTGTTCTCTTTTTTTTTTTGTGTGTGTTCAGAAATGTGTTTGTGTTTGTGTACAGGTTTACAAAGTTGTTTTTGCGGCGAAAAGAAATGAAAATCCATCTTCTGTTTGTCCGATGATGAGGTGACCTGCACTCCAAGCACCCCCTCCTCTGCTTCCGCCTCCGCCTCCTCTCTCACACTGAATTGGATCCGCGACCAACAAGATAAGAGCTCAAACGAGAAGAATCCCAACTCGATGGTGAAAAAAGTAAACACATGAAGGCGACGAACCCGCAGACGGTGAACCTTCCCGAGAGAAAGGTGTCCGAGCTTCGGATCGTCGCGCACAAGAAGAAATGTTCCCATGTTCCAAATGCGATGCTGGCTGCCGGCCTCCGAACATGCTGGAGAGATTACAACGAGCGTAGAGAAAAGTACGCTTTGGCCGCTGCCAAAAAAATTGGATGGATGTTGAGTCTTGGGTTGTGTCTCTGTGTCTTCCCTCTCCTCTGTCTCCGAAAAAAAATCCAAACGAATAAACAATCATGCTGCTGCTGTGTGTCTGTTTGAAACAAAGTCCGCCGTTACACGCCGTTGTCCTGGTTCCGGATTGCTCTTGCCTTTGCCCTTGCGTTCTTGAACTTTTGGTGGTGATCATCAATGCTGCCCTTGAAACAACGCATCCCTTCGACGCTGACCATGTTCCGAGACCTGTGGAGGGAGTCGGCGAGTCTGGCGTCGTAAATACTGATACAGTGGAAGACAATGCGTTGGTGAGAAAATGCCCAAACCCGCTTGCACTTTTCGCATGTGGCCCTTCCCGAGGCGGACCATCTTCTGGTGGTTCATGATGGTCCTCCTGTGGAAGGGCACCCTGTGTGACCCTAGTGACCTATCCGCGTAAAACATAGCGGGGCTGGCCTGAGAAGGAAAAAAATCAAAAAAGAAGTTGTCGTCATCAAAGTCGTGTCGGGCATGATCGAAAGCGACGGTTAGTCGCTGTCGGTGCTGAAATTGAATGCGAAAAAAGCAAGTCACTCAGACTGTTTAGTCGGAGCGCTTGCGCTTCTTCTTGCTGTTCTCATCTTCCGAGGAGAGCTCGCTGGCGCTTCCGGGAATCTCAGAGGCAACCTGGAAGAGGACCTTGCCAAGAGTGTGATAGTCTTCTGGGTGACCCATCATGCTGTGGTCAAAGGAGTGAACGGCTGAGTCGTCGAGCTCCATAACAATGGCGCCGCTGCCGTGGGTTCTAGCGTGCTGGGACAGGTTGTCACTGCGGGAGAACTTCTTGCCGCACTCGTGGCACTCAAAAGGCTTCTCGCCGGTGTGGAGGGAGCGGTAGTGACGCTTCAGGTGCTCCTGGCGGCGGAAGCGGCGGTTGCAGAGCTCGCAGACAAAGGTCTTGGAGGGGTCCTCAGTGAGGGACTGCTTGCGGCCGCGGCGGTTGACGGGAGCCGGGAGAGGCGCCGAGTTGGACTCGGAGTCGGAAGAGCTGTTGGCCTCGGAAGCGGGGGCCTGGCTGTTGGAACGCTGCTCGCTGCTGGCAGCCTGAGAAGCTCCAGAGGCTGTGTTCATGCTGGGCGCAGACTCGCTCGCGTCCTTCTTGACTACCTTGCGACGCTTGACCTGGTGGCAGTCGTTGTCGGAGCAGGAAGAGGAGGGGCTGGGAAGGCAGGCCGGTGCAGAGAAATCCGCCTCGTCAAAGTTGAACTCCTCGCCAATGAAGCTGGCGTGGCCGAGAGAGACGACGCTGGAGCCGGTGCAGGCACGGGGGCGACGGACCTCAGCAGAGTGAGCGTCGCCGAGGTTGACGAGACCGTTGACGAAGTCGTCCTCAGACTCCAAATCGCTCAGGTCCTCAAAGGCGGGGAGGCCGTGAGGGAAAGCAGGGTTGAAGTCAAAGGTCGGTTGAGAAGGGGCTGAGGTAGGGGTCTTGGCAGAAACTTCACTCCTGAGCTCATCACCGAGAGTGAAAGCGGGGAACTCGGGCGCCAGAGTCGGGTTGGAGGTGTTGGATGCAGCAGCGACAGTAAGATTGCGAGGATCACAAAAGTCAAGATCCTGTTCAGACGCGACAGACCTGGCGTACGGTGAGGGAGAGGGAGAAAGTGAAGGGCAAGATGCGGTGGACAGAAGGTCGCTAGTGTTGGTGTTAAGCGAGGGGACCTGGGCTGCTTGGTTTTGGAGGTAGACTGCCAAATTGAGTTAGCCTCCGAAAAACGTCCCTCAGTAAATCCCACGAAGTGCCCCGCCAAACTTGCTTTCCGGCAACCACCACCCAGGCCGTTGGGAATGGGGTCAAAAAAACCGCCGAGGCCCATGCAGCGAAAAAGTGTATGGAATTGTAGGTCGAAAGCATAAAAGTCGGTGCACAACGAAGAGGGAAAATTACACGCGGTATGATTGCAACTTACCAGGTGTCATCGGGGGTGACCCGCAGCTGCTCCAGTCAACAGCGTGGTTCTCAGGCACTTCCAGCGTCTCCTTGAAGCCCTCCAAGCCGTCAATACCCTCCAAACCGGAGAACATGGGGTTCATCGGTGTCTGGAGAAGATCGTAACTGGCGTTGGGGCTGCTGATGGCACTGCCGCAGGTCGACAGCGGCGGCGTTGACGGGAAGTAGAGGCTATCGTCGCAAATCTCCGTCTCGAGCATGATGGCGGGCTTGTGGCTCATGGGTTGGGGAGATGCCATCGGCGTCATGTTCGCGGGTCCATTGCTGTACAGCGTAGGGCCCATGGGCTGCGAGCAGGACGAGTTGGGGCGCGAGTAGATGGGCGTTGAAGGCAGGGTTGGGACCATGGGGTACATGGGCATGTGCTGGGACATGGTGGGCTGCTGCGAGAAGTGACCACGGTGCCTTGAGGTGTCGAGCTTCTGTTCGGGGCGGTAGTAGAGGAAGGGAGCTTGTCCCATTGCCTGAGCCGTCATCATGGTAGCGTCCATTGTGATGCGTCTGTTTGATGATCAGTTCCTGACTTCTTCCATCTGTTGTTCTTTTATTGCTCATGCGGGACGCACCAGACAAGTTTGTCGTGTTGAGCTGTGGGTGTTAGTCGGCGGGGTGTTTGAGTCCGTCTTTACTGATTAATCGTATGATGCGTGGTGTAGCGTAGTCGATGTTGTACACTTGATTCAAGTTCTTTCGAACTGAGTGATGGGCAGTTGGCCTAATGACGGTGGGTTTCGATTTCTTCTGTGTGAAGGATAGGACGACGGGTCGTTGGTAGACAAATGACCGTCAGGGTGTTGATGACTCGATGAGTGAAAGTGTGGGTTGTCTTAGTTGTACATGGAACTCGTCTGGAGTGTTTCTCTGTCTCTCTTCTGTTCTCGGGAGATGTCGTTGGAAGATCGAAAAGGTATGATAGAGTTGAACTGGCTTGGTGTATTATGGGCTCGAAGACGGTTGATGGATACTGAGTTGTAGTTGTGTTTAAAGGAAGGACGGGATGGTTCGAGCAGGTCGAAGTGTTTCCCAAATGTCGAGTCTCAAAAGAAGGAAGAACCGAGAGGTCATAAGAAGAAAAGATCACAGCGCACTGTAGCCGAACGGAGTGTCGATCATGAAATAGCGAGAGTGAAATGAACGTGGGTGGTGAAGGGGGATAAGTAGAAAAGAGACCAAGATCAACCGACTGGCGCAAGATAAAAGTCGTCGATAGGCCGATGGTACAGGACACTGAGTACCAAGCCAAGTGGCAGACCCGACCAGACCATCCCAGACCCTAGCGCACCTTCGAGTAGACGGACCCTCGTCCTCGAACCCCCGTCCCCTCGTCTCCTCTCTCTCTCACTCGTCTTCCCTCTCCACGCAGGCATGTCTCACCCACACAAGTCGACCGGGGCCAGGGGTAAACAAGTACGTATCTTGTGGATCCAAGTACGTAGACGACCCGTCTAGGGTGTGTGGAGATACGTACCGGAATCCCTTCTCTGTCGGTACGTAGCTCTCGGTCGCTGGGATGGGCTTCCGTTCCTAGCGCGTGGACTCGGAAGGGGGGGGGGAGGAGGTTAGAAGTGTGAGTGGACCGCCACACTCGTTGGATAGTGGGTGGATTTGAGAATATGTGTGGATGGATGAGTGACGGCGGCGACGGACCAGGAACAGGAACACCAGGCGAACGAGACGGTGTCATGGGTGGGTCCTGTCTGTCTGTCTGTATGCCTCTGCATGTCTGGCTCTGGGGCCAAGCGGACATCAGATGGGTGGTACATTTGTGCTGGTGGGCTTCTGGGTGCCACGGTGCTTTGGCCCTACCGCACCGGATGATGAGTTGTGTCGTTTTGTGGGTGGCATGCTGTGCGTGGGTGGGCTGGGACGAGAGGATGGCGCAGCCAGCAGGCCAATTCTAATTCTGGATGAGCAAAACGCAGGTACGGTACGGATGGATGTTCGTATGGACACACCGTTCAGACAAGCCACGAGCTCCCCTTCTCCGTTCTGTGTTCTGTGTTCTTCACCCCGTCTCCTGCCCAGAAAGCGACGAAACGGACGAGACGAGACGAGACGGGCCATCAAGCATCACCCGGATGTACCGACCGCACTCTGAAGGGAACTTGATAGCTTCCCCGTTCTTTTGTGTATTGGGGTAGTCTTTTGCCCACTTTGCTGCTAGAGCCGGTCTGTTTGAAGTACCCGAGGGCGAGGACCCTCTGGCTGGCTGCGAATCCGTACTGTAGGTAGTTTGCTCGGTGCCAACAGACGCCCACATACGACATCTTGCAGGAACACGCCGGCCTCGATGCCGTCAAGGCTCTTGTATAACCAGTCTTTCAGATGAAAAATAGCCATACGTTCTGCAGGCAATATCAACCCCAACTCGTTCAGCTCAAGGCCGGGATTGTGGCTGACGTCTTCCTCGAGCAACTTCCACTTGCAAGCCGGAGTGAAGAGAGAAAGCCCTGTCCAGCCGTCACGTTGCTCTCAGACGGCTACAGCAACCAAGCCAACGCTGGCAGATGGCGTTGACGGCGGCCCTGAACGGGCGTCGTGGGAGCATCTGGACCTGAGCACAGAGCAAGCACTATACATGACTATTGTATGCCGCCGTCCTTGAGAGTGCCATCAGCCGTTTGTTCGTGATTAAATGCCCAGTCCATAGTCCGTTATGCCTTGAACACGGAAAGGCAAGAACCTGGTTGCAGTACCGAGCAGGCCGAAGTACAGCCAACCAGCCACAGCGGCTTCTCAGTCGGTTGTACGTAGACAGAACCGAGCAACACACCAGGAAAGAGAACGCTGAAGGTAGTTTTAATCGGCCTGCCACCAACAGAGTATGCAAGATGAGACAGGTTCGAGGTACATTGTTCGCCAGTGGGCACTGGGCAAAGAGTATCCGCACGTCGAGGTAACTCAGCGGAGCTGCATAAACCCGAGGACCATTTACTCATTGATAGGACGGCAATTCGAGGCACAAATGGATAGCGCCTGTCGATAGACACATCGCCGTCCACACAACTAGCACAAACGGCTTCCTCGATTGGTACTCGCCATCTCAGCCCAGTCTGGCGCGCGTCCGACCACACTCTTGGGCACCATCATTCGCTGGATGAACCCTCTGTCCACAGTCACACATGCAGACACACTCATGCTGCACGCCAGTCGTATCGCTCATTGTGCTAGCACACTCGCAGCGAAGCATGGCCGACGCGCGCATGCAAGGTACCAGTCCAGTGAACACTGGAGGGCGATGCGCCGCTTACTGTTGATCACTTGAGAAGTTGCGTCTGGTAGCCGTAGTTGCAACAGCGGCAATGGTGATGGTGAGGGAAACCAGCGTGAGCGGCAACCAGGGGGAAAAAACCAGCTTGTTTCTTTTGCGAGCAAAACGCCATCTGCCGTTCGTCTCCTTGATCACGGTGGCTCTGCTAATGCCCCAGCAAGTTTCGCGGTTCGTGGGAGCATTCGTAATCCATTTTCATGCTTCAGAGCGGCTGAGCAGAGCTGTGCTTGTCTGAAATCCCCAGACAGGCGACTATGACTGCTCCAAGATGCTCGAAACGCGGAGCATCGCGGCAATTGCTGGGCTGCCCGAGCAGCATTGACATAGACAGCTAGGATAGCCAGCGGATCGCCGTCTATCATTCATGCCAGAGCCGCAGAAACGAACGGAGCCTGTCAATTGTCATTGAACTGAGGAGACAGTGGGCTTGAGCGGTAGTATTGCAACCGCAGCTCTGGGAAAGCCGTGTGTGGCTCATCCATCCGATGTCGTCAGGCACATAATTGCTGCGTTATTGGAGTATATTCGAGGTCCCGGCTTTCTAAGAATAAAAGCCCACAGCTATCAAAATGTTAATTCGTCCGAGTATTGGATTAATTGTGAAAATGGCCCTGGCGGAGGCCGCACACCCACTCATCCCCATTGTGCGCCGCGTCTCCTCTCTCGGAGGCCACCGTCCTTTTCTGAAGTTCTGTACGGATAAGCCCTTGGATTCCTCGAGTGGGAACCAAAGCCAACGGCATGCGAGGGGGCCACCAACGCGTGCCCCCGGTTCGTAGCACAACTCGATTTCTTGGAAGCGGCGAACATGTGAGTGTGCTCGAATAATGTCGATGCATACGGGCGTCGTATTCAGCTGGCCAGCGCGCCAGCGAGCCCTCTCGGGGCCAGCTATGCAAGCCTCTCATCTGGTGGGTACCGTAGTTGTGCAGGAACACGAAACGCACAAAGGATGTGTGATGGAGACGTGACCGGGCCATTCAGAACGCTGAGCAGGCGCATCTTTGGCGACCCCCTGTAAAAACTCTAGAGTAACGAGTCTAACGATAACCTCTACCGTGAGGTGCCATCCACCACTAGACGTCCGTTGAGTGCCGCTTGGCATATCAGTGGTCGATTTGGGCGTCCGTCACACGTCTGCTATCACCAGTCAATGACCCCGCGTCGCGCTTTGAGGATTTGGTAGTGGCTTTACGGCATCGCGTTGGCTAGCGATGACGCAGCCGCCACTAGCAAGAGTTTCTTGCGCGCCTGGACTCTCACGGATCCATATCACTCGTGAGTCTTGGTCTGGCGGATATGTTGACGGGCGTTGTTTCTGGTTTCGACTTGTTCTCCATTCTTTCACGCGTCTGTCTGCTGAGTCGAGCCGGCGCGGGGGGCGCTGGATTGCTGACTGCGTCACCCGACCACGACCCCGCCAAAGCCGAGTTGAGTTGTCTCGACAGATCTAGCATGCCAATTCTGGACTGGCCGTCCCGGTTGGTCCAGCAGCTTGGTGACGGCCAAGCATCAACCCTGACACCCCTGGCATTGTTGACGGATTGGTGGGAGCCTCTTCAGACTGTACGACTCTCGGTTGCCTCGACATGCTTGAATGTTGAAGAGTGGACAGTCAAGACAGGCCATTCGAGGTTGCGATGGCTGGGACTAAGCAAGCCTCTCGAGTGGCCCGCGGCCCGCGGCTGATGATCATGACGGGACAGGGCAGGGAGCCGATATTGATGGTGAAGCAACCAACGAAGCCAGTGGATTCATGATGCTGTCGAGTTTTGCACGGACGGTGGGCGACAAAGTGACATCCGATCTTTCAGGTCCGAGTTGGCAATCCGACCCTGGGAGGATGGAAAGTATGATTGAAAAGAGCGAAAAGATTGTCGCCACCACGTCGCGGCGAGGAGGTCCATGCAGCAGGCAGTCTAGTTGAGGCAGTGCTCGGCGTGCATGCCGTCAAGTAAGGTGTGTAAGGCATGGACTATTGAGGCACCACGGAACCACGGGGCATGTAAGTACGCAGCACCCATGGATCCGGAGCTGAGATGGGTTCGGTAGGGCAATGTTTAAATCCATGAGAGTAATGGCTGCGGGCTAAGGCGCAGGGCGGGCGGGATGGCCTGTTCGGATGAAGTGGAAAGAACGGTGATGCTCTCTCTCTTTCCACCTATCTTTCTGAAGAGGTAAGGTGGGTGAGGTACTACACCTGAGGTATCGAGTTGTCAATTCGAGGCAGGTACGAGTGCTCAGACTCAGACAATACGCCACGTGACTACTTGATCTTATGGGATGGGAAGGGAAGGGAAGGATGGAGGACTCGATGTCACCGTCCGTTCAAACACCAACCTGAATGTCACAGGCAACCTAACTTGGAAGGCCTCACACGCCGCATGGTTGGAAAAGGAAGGCACCAGACCAAGGATGTGCCTGCAGGTGCAGGAAGAGGAGCAGGAGCAGGAGTACTTCGTACCTTAGGTGCAGATGCAGATGCAGTTGCCAGCTGCGGCCAACCTGGAGAAGGCACAGTTGAGATGGAGCCAACTTGCATGCCATGGAACCCGAAGACTCTCGAAAGCCAAGTACATACCAGTTTCCTTCCAGCCCACCTGCCTTCCATCTCTTCCCAAGTTTCCATCGAGTTTTCTTTGGCAAGGCGGCCGGGGGGCCAAGGAAAGCTGCTGCCGTTGGGAATTGGGGAACGGGAGTCCCGGTGCTCCGTTGGTCAGTCCCGTCTGCATTGGATCCATGATGCGGGAAAAAGCAAACATTCGGCTGTGAGAAGGCGCTCCCGAGTCCCCATTCGCCCACCTACCTCATGCAGCAGCTACCTACTTCCAAGGCCTAAGGTAAGTAAGTGACAACTGTGTCATAACTCACACAATATCGATTCTTATTCTGAAAGCTGCGTCAACACCAGTCAGGATTTTCCCTTCGTTTCTCTGGGCCGAGACTCCCG